GCCCATTCTTCTTTATGGCCTTCCATGGATTTCTTCACACGCTCAACTTCTTTCTTGAGTAGAGGAACTCTTACCTCATAATAAGATGGAGCTTTCATTCCTGGGCCATGGTTTCCAATTGCATCAATCATTTCTTGGAAACTTTCATAGTTCACTGCATTAAAAGGAATAGCAGCATCACACATCCATCTTGATATGGCCGAACATGCTCGACTTCGCAACTCTTTAAGTGCTTCTTCATTTAAGTTCTTCTGTTTATTCATTGGCTTAGCACTTTGTTGTCTAGTATGAGTATGACTAACAAACATATCCATAGGCCCCTTCCTGTTCAACTTTGGCTTTTTAGATTTAGCCAATTCACCAATCTCATCATCATCTTCATCATCATCTCCACAGTCAATCAAAGCCTCTTCACGAAATCGTTGTCGATCAACTTCCCTGTCTAGCACAACCTGATCTTTTGTCTTCTTCTTCTCAACCATATAAGATCGAATCTCTTCTCTCACAACATCAGACACTTTGTCACATGCCTTTACATCAGAATACCCACCAACAATATGTCGTTTTGCTCTACTAATTCCTCCAGTGTAGCGGTTATTACAAAAAATACACGTAGTATTATTTGTATTTTTAGGATCCTCAAGTCGAATATATTTCCAAGCCAAATCCTTTCGATTACTTTTGGAAGAGGTTTTTGCCATTGGTGAAAAACTATTGTACAAAAAGAAATTAAAAAAATATATCTAAGTGTGACCTGCAAAGTATTTGTAAAGAAACAATAACCATTCACAAAAAAAACAATAAGAAAACAAAAAAAACGTCTAAGTGACCTGCGAAGTGTAGAGTATTGCGCTGGCTCTGAGTCTGCGAAGAAGTGAGACGGAGAGAGAGGGAAGAGGGTTGCGCCGGCTGAGGAGCACTTGAGAAGGGGCAGGAGGCTGAGTCGGCGAACTAAATTTGATCGACAGCGAGGGGCAGAGGAAGAGGCGAGGCAGTTGAATCGATGCAGTGCTTCGATCGTGTACTGATATAGGTCAGGTCAGCGGGCTTTTTTTTAGAAAAAGTCAATAAATATCCTTGACTGGTCTGGCGTAGATAGCGAACGCCTTTCGCCACAGTCTTTGGCGTCCATGGCGACCGCCTATGGCGAGAATGGCGTAAAACGCCTCGCCAGGCCTGAGGATGGCGTCAGAAGGTCGCCACAAAGCCATAAGCGCCTTTGGCGAGAATGGCGAGCGCCATTAACAACTATGCTTGAATGATACACCCAAAATATTTAAATCTCTTGTGGTATAGTATTTTCTCCGGCTTTCACCTCGATGTTACTATTTCTCTTTCTGTTGCCAAACTTGCACTCCATATACTCTGTTTTAGTGCGACTTATACACAAGCCATGCAACTCCAAAGCCTATCTCCACTGATGGTGTAAATTACCACGCAAATGCTAAGTGTGAGTGATCAGAAGGGTTGTAGGTGGAAACACCTGTAACCTGGTTTGTTATTAATGATAATAGGAGCTATTACAAATACAAGCCGTGCAGGTTAATTAAAGCATGCCTCACAAATGAGGCTTTTAGGAGTATTTATAATAATCCTAAGCACGTCAAGCATGTCTCTGATTATCCAGCCGGTCAGTCCACGGACCGGTCTCTCAGCCAGACTTTGAGAATGGCAGCTGCATTTTCGCCAGCCGACCCACCCATCCCGACCGGTCAGACCGCCCGGGTTGAAGAGGTCACATGGCGTCATATTCGGTACCTCCCAGTCGGTCGGACCAGCCGGGCAGTATCCATGGGTTATACCCATCATCCACGAATCCCACTTCTCATTCAAATCCTCTCGTGATTTGCCCGCAACTTCATAAGACTCATGAGCTCGATCCCTCTGTAGTTTCTACAACTCTGAATATTCCCCTTATTCTTGTAAATAGGGACCACAAAATACTCTCCTTCCATTCTCCATTTGTTAGGGATCAAAGTATGCTTACTTTACACCTGACTAAAATATCAAAAAACCTGTTCTTTATGCAAAAATGATGGATGGTGATTTCTTCAGTTAGTGATTGGTCATTTATTTCTATTTTTGTAAGCCATCAACCATTTCAATTATACCAAGAATTGGTATACTGAAAAAGTGCTGCTGCCTTTTTCAAAGATACTTTAACCAGATATTTTTCTTTAATTGATTGCTTAAGTATTATGAGTATATAACTTTTATCTATTCTAATTTACTGTGAAAAGATATACAGGCTCTTATATGGTAAATTGGTCACCCAATTTACAGACGGCAGTTTCTGACCTGGTATAAACTATTATGATCACTTTTCTAAGTATTGTCAATGTTCAAAATTCCCCAGACCATATGTTTTGTGGGATTCTACTGGGTTTGTTGTTGCTGTTGGTGGTGGTGATGGTGGTGGAATGATAAAATTTAGTTCTTTTTTCAGACAAGGCAAAGCAATGGAAATCAAACTTTTTTTTACAACTGCTAACTAAATAGTTTGCATTATACACATGGACTTCATTAATTTGGATATGAGACAATGCATCAACTCTACATTTTCCAACCATATGTTGATAAAGGACTAAAAAGTATTCTGTATTTCTTCAGGAGTGACTTTTTCACTATTCCCACCTCATGCCCCGAGACTTTATTTGGTGATTCCGCAGTTGCAGTAAATCCTCGGGTATGGTAAGTACTGGGAACAACTGAACAAGTATGCACTTTGAATGCCAGTTTGCCAACTTTGAGTACATCTAAGGGTTTTTACATATCTCTTATCAGTTTTTTAGGATGTTTAGTATATAGATTGCTTAATTTTCAGGATGAGCGATACTCCAAGTATATTGGGATAGAGGCTATTGTACCTATGACCTTTGGGCGGCATGTTCCTATTATATGTGACAATGTAAGGGTTCCTTGTTTGTTTCAATTACGAGGATCGACACATCAGTTTTGGTTAAAGTGAAAAAAGTAACCTTGATAGTCGTACTCCCTCCATCTCACAAAGATAATCCACTATCTTTTTGCACACAGATTAAAGAATGATCGTTAAGTTAGTTTTAACATTTAATTTCATATGTAGTATCCATTGATACCTTTTTAGAAAGTTAGTAGTTTCCTAGGTAGTAGAATCTAATTTTAGTGTTGGTGATTAAGTAGGTGTAAACTTGAAAATGAAAAAATAAATGCACATTCAATAAAGGAAGTATAATATCTTTTTAGGACAGACCAAATATGAATAGTTGACTATTTGTGTTACACAGTAGTATTAGATAATAGGTGAAAATAGACTAAAAGGGAATGACTGTGCTTATTGTGAGTTTTGTGCTAGCGATGTGTATAAAAAAACGTATGGCATAGATGCTTCCAGTGAGCACTTAAAACACAAAAAAGGCTCTTAGAAAATGTAGGACCGAGTACACGGTTTATTAGATACTGGGTCCTTGTATAATGATAGCATGTTGACAAAGACTTTGGAACTGGAGTATTAAAGATAAGTCCTGGACATGATCACAGTGATTACTTACTTTCTTGCAAAGTTGGTCTTCCTGTACTGAATGTGATGAATAAGGATGGGACCTTAAATGAAGTTGCTGGCTTGTATTGGTATGTTTGAAAATGCCTATTTTGGTGCACAAGCAAATTCCTGATGTGTTTATGATATCAGATTATGCTTAACTTATGATTTTATGATCCCTCTCTTTCTGTATCTGTAATAACTATCATAAAATAGATACTATAAATATTTTTATCTAAAAACTTTAAACATGAAAAAATTTATTATCCAGTAATATTTGTCACCTTGTGGTCGATGAATAAATAAGCAAGAATATTACTAATTTATATTGTTTTGACATAGATGTATAAATAAGCATATTTTGTATTTTCAAGAATTTTATTTAATACTTTTAATAGTAATTAAACTTATAATAATTAATATTATACCATAAATATTTCATTTAGGAACACAAATTAATAATTAACTTCTTACACATGAATACCCTTGTACCAAGTCTTCATCATTTTACAAAGTTATTAATGAAAAATAGTAATTTTGTGACATGAATTTATAAATTTTTACAAAGTTAGTAATGGAAAATAATAATTTAAAAATGGAAAATACAAACTTTAAAATAGAACATACTTGTTATTTGACTTAGAATTCTTTTAATATATACAGAATAAAATTAATGCTCTATTAAATTTATGCTTAGCATCTAATCATTAACACTATGTTTGGTTCAAGGAATTGAGGAAGAAAGGAAAATGATAAGGAAAAGAAAAGAAAAGGAAAGAAATTCAAAATTCTAGTTATGTTTGGTTAAGATGGAAATTGATGAAGAAAATGTATTCTCAAGCTCTTTTTGTTTGGTTAGAAGGAAATTTGGTGAGAAAACAATGTAAATCCAAATTTGAAGCCAAAAGATTTTATTGACTAATATGTTTATGACTCCAGTGCCATTTCAATTGCTCCAATATACATCTTGTGTTTCTTCATCATCGTGCAATTTAATTAACATAAACAAAAATATAAAACCAAACAAAAAGAACATGCAATTTAATCAATATGATGCCTCACCCACCCACAAAAGGGCATTTCATTTCTTGTTTCAACAATGTGTTTCAACCAAACACATAGTACACAGACATGTCTATAAAATGACTTAACCTTTCAGAAAAAAAACAAGCACATTCTGCAGCAAACCACAAACACAATGAATTTTAATGTCAATTTTCTAGATGGCCTTGGTTGAAAAAGAGATATGGCAGTGCCATTCCCTGTGGGCAGCAGGGCCAATGACCTTCCCCCATTTTGCTTCAAGTGTCTTCCCCACAAATGGTCACTTATGCATCTCTCCTACGAGGACCTACACACAATGCCTAGGACACATAGCCCCTCCGGTGGGAGCTTCTCAAGAATGCACTCAGACATTCTACTCCAGAACAGCAAAAATCAGTTTTGGCAAGGAGACATTGCAGCAAAACCAAAAAATTCAGTGACAATTGAATGGGAGAGGCGGCCGTTTATCGCAATTAGGGTTGTGATCGTTTATCGCAGCAATTAGGGTTGCGATCGATGTTCAGAGATGGGTGAGCGAGAAAACATGGCAGAGACGGGAGCGAAGGTTTCAGAGACGGGAGCGATGGATTCTCTCGTTTTCCGTCCAAAATCAGGAGGAAAATGATTTTGCCCTTTTTAAATTCATTTTCTCCCCAGTTTTCTTTTCCTCTCACTTTTTCTTTCCTTTTCTCACTAACCAAACATAAAAAAACATTTCCCTCCTATTTTCTTTTCTTTTTCCAGCCAAATTCCTTAAACCAAACATAGTGTAAGTATTTTTTTAATTAAATGATAGTTAGTGAACATATGGGCCGTGCCTCTCGGATCCATAAAATTCGGGCACAAAATCAAGAAAGGACTAAGGACACCAAAAAAGGGGACATGGGATCCGAGCTTGGCCATTTGGATCCAGTTTCAAGCTTTGTGTTTGGGCCACAGCTTTAGGGTCACTGGGCCAATCGGGTCAATGCTGAAAGTCTGAATGGATGCGGACGGCTCACAACGAGTCGCCTACACTCTCACCGGAAAAGAATTCAACAAATATGCTCAAGCTTATTTGTCATGTAACGTAGATTTACATCTACTTTTAGCTTATATCTCAAAACTGTTTTCACCGATTTCATTCAAGTACATCTGCTCCAAACTGTTTTTTGTTATCGATGATCATCTTGCGGAGATGTTATGAATAATAGAGATGACAGAGAATAGAATATTATTAATGTTATTTACTTTTCTCAATCTATTGTTTCTATATTTTTTTTATTCTATTCGACTTTGGTTAGGATTTTTCATGTATTTTCTATATATATTGATATAAACCTTGTTATTTAATAAAACTTATTATTAACAAATTATATCTGAAGGTAATTTGGTAGGAGTGCAAAAAAAAAATTCTCCCACGGAGAGAATAGTTGAGAATACATTTTAGAGCATCACTACTCATTTTTCTCTATTTCTCTTCGGCATCATTTATTTTCAATGTCACCCACTTTTCCCTTCAACTTTCCTCACTCTTCTCTAACCATTTCTAAATTTTTTTCATTATTTTTTTCCACATGTCATCTTCTTATTTATACAAAAAAATTTAAAAATAATTGGACAATCACACTTTTCTCTCTTGAGGGGAATATAATTCCCCTATCTCTTCTCTCTCCTCTAAGCTCCTCTTTTCTTTAATAAAGCTTCTCATGATTCCCCTTCCACATTATAAATTATATGGTACAACCGGATGTATCGTGCATCATGATAATCTTGTAATTAAAAAATGTTTCAAAATGAACACTATGTTATTTCAAAATAAATTCACTACACTGAACAGACTTGGAATGAGCACTACATTATCTCAGAATAAATACTACGTTAATCCAAAATGAACATTTGCTAGATACGCGTATCTCTAGGTACATCCGGATGTACAGTATAGACTCTCTTTCCTTAACATCTTATTCTTCCTTCTTTTCTTCCTTATTCTCTATTCATTTTCTACTTGTTTTTAAGTAACACTCAGTATACATTTTCTCCTTATTTTCTCTTCTATCTATTTCCTTTATTCATTTTCTCTCATCTTTTTTTTCTCATAAAAAGAAAAAGAGAATTCTCTAGATAAGAGTATAAAACTAAGAAACTACCAAAATATGAGTCTTAAGTTTTGTAAGATCAAAATAGGAGTTTACACTGCTACACTTACCACGTTTTCACATTACAACTGCCACACAACCATTGTCCCCACTGTCATTTATCGCCTTCGGCCACCAGAGTGCCGCCGCTTATCGTCGTCGATTGACTGATCACACCGTCATTTCACCTCTAACATCAGACTGCCATTATAGTTCTATTTTGGTAATAAAAGACTTAAAACTCTTAGTTTAGTATTTTCATACTTTTTTAATCATATCCAAACGTAACTAATCTCCCTTCTTTCACATATGCCTCCTAGGAGTTTTTCCCTTAGGGTGGGCGGTATGAGTGCGGTAAATTCCATTTGGTACCAAAATTTGCTTATTTGACAACGGGAGGTGATACACCCGACAAAAGACTAAACACACTCCATTGTAGGGATGGAAATTCAACCCGAACCCGAGCTTAACCGACCCGACCGACTACTAAAATATCCGAATCCGAACCGAAAATAAAATAATCCAAACCCGACCAGAAATTTTTTACCCGAATCCGACATCGAGTCGGGTCGGGTCGGGTGTGGATTTATAATTTTACCCGACCCGCACCCGCACCCGACCTGACTAAAACACGAATATTTTATTACATAAAAGTCTATCTATGAATATAATGAGCACTCCGTATAATCTCTTGACAAAATGCTACCATATAAAGTATGCTTTTTATAATCATTTTTATAATCCCTTCATACAAAATGAGACATAAAAAAAGAGAAAAAAAATTAGATTTAATCTTTTCAAAATTATTGGGGTACGTCGAATTGATTATTGGTTAAAAGTCGGGTTCGGGTTGGGTTCGGTTTTTGGGTTGAAATGTCGGGTTCGGGTCGGGTTCGGGTTTCGGTTTTAAAAGTCGGGTCGAGTTCGGGTATAGTACTATCCAACCCGAACCCGACCAGTTGCCATCCCTACTCCATTGGATAAGTACACCCTATTCTTTTAATATCGTTATAAACTCACCCCAACTTTAGACATTTATACCCTTACAATGTTGAGGCCGGCAGCAAGCAAAGCTGCTTGTATGTGTCGGGCGAAAAAATTCCCTTGCATTATACTCCCTATTAGAGCAGTGTGAGAATGTTCATATTTTTATTTTAAGATCCATTACTGGTAAAAAAAAAAGGGGAGACTATTGGCGTTAACGAAAAGAATGATGCAGGGGAGGAAGACACGTGATCGTGGGAGGGAGGGCTTTTGATCGTAACGGAGAGTGAAGTGGGGAAGAAATATTGATTGTGTTAACTAGCTGAGGGCGATGGTAAGGTCTATAGAGGGTAAATATGACTTTTTTATTTTTCTTAAAATATTTACACTTTGTTTGGTTCAAGTATTTTGAAAGGGAGAAAGAAAGAAAATGAGAGAAAAATCGATTTTCTTGTTTGGTCAGAGGGCAAAAGAAAAGAAAAAGTGGAAGGAAAAGAAAATGAGAAGGCAAAATGTATTTTTCACGAGGAATGAGAACCAAATCTCTTTCATTTTAGTGAGAAAAATGAGAGATTTCCTTCCAAATTCCTTGAACCAAACATAGTGTTAATGTTTAAAATGAGTGAGTTTAGTGTTCAAATGGTGTGTGACAATCACCATCTATCTTTTGACGATTTGGTAAATAATGAAGGTAACACCACCCCCTAATTTGGTACCAACAAAATTCGTTAGCAAGTCTAAAGGGCTGTTTGGCAACTTCTGAATAGGTAAGTGTTGAACCAGTAAGAGGTCTGAACCATTAAGTGCTGAACCAGTAAGAGGTCTGAAACATTAAGAGCTGGTATATTGCTTAACTATTCAGAGGCAAATGTCTGATCAATTCAGATAAGAGCTCTTAATCATTCAGACTCTGTATAATACTTAACCATTCAGAGGCAAATCTCTTAACCATTCAGACATCTGAACCATTAAGAGGCTGAAACAAACAGTCTGAACCATTAAGTGTTGAACCATTCAGACATCTGAACCATTAAGAGGCTAAAACAAACAGCTCCTAAGACTTTGCTGAGCATACAGAAGCATCACAATACTCTTTTTACATTTTCATTTTTAAAAAAAAAACTTAATTCAACACAAATTTTTTACCTTTTTATTTGAAAAAAATTAAATACCCCATTTTTTAACCTTTTCATTTTAAAAAATAAAAAACTTAATTTAACAACACTTTTTTACCTCTACATTTGAAAGAATTATGGAGTAAAACGTAATTTAACACCTTTAAAACCTTTATCGTAGTAAATTTTTTTTACTATTGTTATGTTTATGTTTTTTATTTAGGATTGATATTTTCTTTTATTTAGTACTACGTATTATAGTTTCGTTTAAATCAATGAAACATTATCGTATTATCATCGTGTTTATTAAACATTTACACTTTATATTTTTTTATTATATCATAAAAATTAACTATTAACAAAATTAATTACTAATAACATTAAATTTTTGAAATTGATTTTAAAAATGATTTTTTATCCTTAATTTAGGTTAATTATTTAAAAATGATTGTAGTAAGTTGATGAATTGACGTATATACACCTCCAATTGTAGTATAAAAATATGAATTTAATAGAATCTGTTGTGGCTGATGTGGATGATTCAAACAAATATATCTTCAAATGGATTATTTGTGGCGTTTGTACTGACCGCGCAAAGTAACTAAAAAGAAAGAATAAAAAGAAGAGAGAAAATAGTTTGAGTAGATCCCACCAAACAAAAGAAAATATTTTGATTTTTTAAAGTGTTATTAACTCGATTATAATGTAGTATCTATTTGTATTTTCTTAATATAGTAATGCACAAAGAGTTAATGCATTTACCTTCATTGAGGCTCAAACGTGAGTGAATTCCCCATGTTTTGAATGACGTGTTTTCTCAATTATACCTTTCTTTCTCTTTATTTTTGTTGGAGATTCCTCCAAGTCCCACACCGGAGGGAGAAGAAAAAATGGACCAAAATATATAGATTCATCCAACCCCATTAGTATGAGGCCTTTTGGGAGGTGCTCAAAAACAAATCTGTGAGGGCTTGGCCTAGAGTGGACAATATCATACTAATGTGGGGTTAGGGTGAGGGCACGCACAGTCCCAACAATTTTTTAGGGTTAAATATATTTTTGATCCCTGTAGAATAGATGATTTTTGTTTTTGGTCTCTGTAAAATATATTTTATTAAGTCATCATTAAAAAAAATTTGTTTTTAAAGTGGTCCTTAAACATAATTTGTACTTATGATTTGTTGAGATACCATATTTATTCCGTACAAAATTTACTAGTCTTCCATTTAATTTCTACTACCTCTCCGTCCCAAAAAGTTTGTTACGTTTAGAAAAAACTGCGTCCCGTAAAGTCCGTTACATTTCTATTAAAAAATCACTTTTACCCCTTACTTTTTCATACCTTACCTATCACATCATACATTTTTCCTAATAATCTACCCATCACATCCTACTTTACCCATCACATCAAGGGTATTTTTGGAAAGTCAATACCAAAATATCCCTCCCTTAATTTTCCAAAAAGTCAAACCGTCCCATTTTTTTTTGGGACGGAGGGAGTATCAAATTCATATAATATCACGAATTCGAAAATATTCTAGGAATATATTATAATAAAATATTTGGAAATTAGGAATGTAATTTGACTGAGAAGACGATCAAAGACATGAGAATTGTGTTTGAAATATTTAAGATTAAGATGTTGAGTATGAAATAAATATAATATTATCTCAACAAGTTAGAAGTGTAAACTATGTTTAGGGACTATTTTCAAAATAATATTTTTAAGTATAACTTTACAAAAAAATTAATGAGACCAAATTATAAATCTTTTATTTTACAGGGATTAAAAACATAGTAGTATTTAAACTTATTTTTATTCAACCAAATATACTACTACTACTAGTACTCCCTACTCTGTAGTAGATTTGTCGGTTTATTGACTCTCGGGCATATGCTTTTTTTTTAATTGAATTTGACTTTCACAATATTTTAAAAATGTTAAAAACTTAAAAAAAAGCTCCGTATGCGGAGTAGAATTTAGAATTGTTTAGAAGACCTAGAAATCCTTGGAATCATACTCTATCAATTCTTTATTTAATTGATCGTTATAATTTTTTTTGATAATTAAGACAATAATAAATATAAATATACTCCGTATATTATACTTCGTTTGATACGGATAAACATGAAAAAAGAGAAACTGTGAGAGACGAAAATAATATAGAGTATTTTCTATTCCAAATTGGTTAACAGTATGTTTGTATTTGTCACACTATTTTAGTGTACCCTTAACATAATCCATATTTTTAATGGCAATCGTAATAAGTTCAAGAATTTGGTTTTCTAAAGCAAAAAAGACTCCCAAGCCCCAAGTTGCTCGAAAAACAGCGCGCAAACCAGAAGGTGGTTAATTTAATTTATTAAACATTCAATTCAAGAAGGTGGCGATGGTTGCAGTGCCCAAAAGAAAAAAAAACGAAAAACGAATGAATTCAAGAAGCTCCATTTCTTACTGTACCCCAAAACTAATAATACCAGCTAAATTAAATATTCCCCCGTTTAAAACAAGGGGAAACGTCCACTCCATTTCCAAGAATCACTTTTCCAACATTCTCTCTCCTCCTGTCTTTCTCGTACGTAGTACTGTATTCTTTTCTGGGTTTGATCACATAAGCTGGTTCTTTTTTTGCTTTCAAAAAAAAAAAAAAAATTGCAATCTTGGCTCATCTTACTTCGTTGCAAAGAAAGCCCAGTTTTCAGACCCCTGGTTTCTCTGTGCATTTACATACAAAATACCACCTTTCTTCATGCGCTTGCTCTTCTTGTCTGATCAGATTTTCTGGGTTTTGCTACTTGTGATCTTCTCTAGAGAGGCTTAGTTAGGGTTCAAGAACTATCTGTTGAAGTTGCAGGCAAAATGGAAGGAGGGGTTTCCTCTTTGAATAGGCGAGTTTGGCTTAACAATGACGTCGTTGATATAGTATTCTCATGGTCTCTTGAAGATATTTTCAATGACGACCTCTACAGAGACCAGGTATCACTTCACTTCCAACAAAATGCACCGTGCAGTTAGTAGTTCTTTATGTTATTTTCATCTGTTGCCATACTTTTATTTGCTCATGTATTTCCTATGTTATGGTTTGCTCTTTAGAATATTCATCTTCAATGGGCTTTTGTTTTTCTTCCACTTCTAGGTAGAGAAGATACCAGAAAGATTCTGTTCGTGGGAGCATTATCTAGGTTGCTTTACATTTCCTCTGCTGGAAGAAACTCGTGAGGTTGTGGCATCTTCTATGGAAGCAATGGATAAGGCACCATTTGCAGAAGTCACCTCCTTTGAAAAGACAAAAGGACATGGGGATGGTGTTCATTATAATGTCAAAGTTGACTTTTGGAAGAGAAGAGTTAGTGATGATGGGGAGCACTATAGAACATTACCCGGAGACTTATTGGTATTCTCCGATAATAAACCCGAAACTGTTTCTGATTTGAATCGTGCGGGGTGGAATTGGTCATTTGCTGTGGTTGTTAATGTGACCGATGATGAGAACAGTGATGGAAGTTCGTCCACGAATTTTAGAGTGAAAATGCCTATTGATTTTGAATCCAAGATTGGAGCCCATGCTACAATCTACATTGTTTTCCTTGAAAACCTCACAACAAGTAAAAGGATTGGGAGTGCTTTGGGAATGGCTAAGAATTTGGACATTATTGATAGTGTTTTGTACACAAGCAATGAGGTTGGTGATATTGTGGGTTTACTGATATTTGAATTTCACCTCACATCTTACTGAAGCATCTTTTCTTCATTAAACGGCATAATCAAAGTGATAATTAGCTTTGGTTTGGGAATTCAATCATCCAAAATCAACAATATTTTTGTTTTTATTTTGTGGCCATTTTATGATTTTGATTGATCTTCCTTTATCACATTGATGATTAGGTTGAGAAGAAATGTGATGTATGCTCTCCACATGATGAAATAGCATCATCAACAGAGAAAATTGATGATAGCTTGTTGTCCATGCTTAATGAATCCCAGGCTAATGCAGTACTTACTTGTCTTGAAAGGGTGAAATGCGACCAATTCTCTCATGTTGATCTTATATGGGGCCCTCCCGGTACTGGGAAGACAAGTACTATTAGCATACTTCTGTTTATGCTCTTTAAGAGAAAGTGTAGAACGCTTATTTGTGCACCTACAAATGTGGCAATAACACAAGTTGCCTCTAGGGTGTTAAGGCTGCTTCAGGACTCTTATAAAGAAGAATCATCAAAGGAGAGTCTACTATATCCATTGGGTGACATTGTCCTATTTGGAAACAAGGATAGGTTGAAGCTGGGTGAATACATTGAGGATATCTATCTAGACTATCGTGTTGAAAGGCTTGCTGAGTGCTTTGGCCCACTAACTGGCTGGAGACACTGCATTCGTTCTGCAATTTCTTTTCTTGAAGATTGTGTTTCTGACCACGAAATCTTCCTGGAGAATGAATTAATAAAAATGAGAGCGTTAACTGAGAATGGTGAATCTTTGAAGGAATGCGTAGAACCTACATCCTTTGCTGATTTTTTAAAGTCACAGTTTGAGGGTGTAGTATCACCTGTCAGAAGATGCCTGTTTATAATGTGCACTCACATACCAAGGCATTTCCTTCAAGAACATAATTTCCAAGCTATGGTTTCCCTGATTTTCATTCTAGATTCTATGAAAGAAACTTTATATCAGAAGCATACGAGATCTGATGAAGAGCTGAAGGAAATCTTTTCACAACCAGTAAAGTCAGAACTTGCATCCGAGTCATTTGTAGATACATCATCGTTGGTCTGCTTAAGAATACAATGTGTCTCCATTCTTAAAATCCTTCTACGTTCTATTGGAGAACTGGATATTCCTAGTTCCTTATATGGGGTTTCAATTAAGGAATTTTGTTTAAAGACGTCATCCTTGGTTTTCTGTACCTCTTCGAGTTCTTTTCGGATGCATTCAATTGAAATGGAACCGTTCAGCTTACTGGTAATTGATGAAGCTGCTCAGATGAGGGAATGCGAATCGATTATACCACTTCAACTTCCCGATCTGCAGCATGCAATTCTTGTAGGTGATGAATGCCAATTACCTGCAATTGTTCATAGCAAAGTGAGCATTCTTTTAATTCTTTGTAGTGTTTTAGTGTCTTGAATCTACTCACTGAGTACCTTCTCGCTCCTAATAACATGTATATTTGTTGGTAGGTGTCTAATGCGGCTGGGTTTGGAAGAAGCATGTTTGAAAGGCTAAGTTCATTGGGTCATCCAAAGCTTATGCTCGATGTGCAGTACCGAATGCATCCAGCTATAAGCCGCTTCCCGAATTCGAGCTTCTATCATAATCAACTCCTAGATGCTCCAAATGTGCAGTGTAAAACCTACGAGAGGCAGTATCTTCAGGGCAAAATGTTTGGTCCATATTCTTTTATAAACGTCCCTAGCGGAAAGGAAGAAGTGGATGATGTCGGGCACAGCAGAAGGAATATGGTTGAAGTTGCTTTAATAATGAAGATAGTGCAGAACTTGTTCAAATGTGAGTCAACACTTTGATTTTTTCTGTTTCCAGCCTCTACTTACCGGTCGGGGCAAGGGCTGCGTACACACACCCTCCCAGACCCCACTTCCGTGCGATCCAACTGGGTCGTCGTTGTTGCATTTATACTGTTTGGATAAATTGGATTCATCAATATCTACAACTTGGATTTTGCTAACCTGTTTCTTGAAAGTGTGCTGATATCTTTACATAATAGTGCTGTAATCAAGTTTGGCTTCAAGGACATCAAGCATATCACCCTTCTTTTATCCCAAGTCTTTTTTTGCACACACTAATTCCGAAATTAGGAGAGTGATCGTTTCATTTAGAGTGGTCCTGATTCCTGAGTTCATATTCTTGTTTCAGTTCCAGTGTTGTATTCATTTCAAAGCTCATAGTAATGTTCCAATTTCTTTGAGCTATTGTGTAATGTTCTAACTATTTTTAATTTTTTCCAAAAATGTTATTTACCCAGTTTGGCGTAACACGAAGACTAAACTAAGCATTGGTGTTATATCACCCTATGCTGCGCAAGTTATTGCCATAAGAGATAAAATTGGCAGAAGGTACGACAACCTTGATGGATTCGCAGTTAAGGTAAAGTCTGTTGATGGTTTCCAAGGTGGAGAAGAGGACATAATAATATTATCAACTGTGAGATCTAATCGTGCTGGCACTATTGGTTTTATGAGCAGTTTGCAAAGAACTAATGTTGCATTGACCAGGGCCCGGTATGTGTACTGTACTCTTCTTATCTTTTCAGATTTGAAAGTAATGTTACCTAATGCGCCCTTTAAGCTTTTCTTATGTTTCTTGTAGGCACTGTTTATGGATATTGGGAAATGAAAGGACGTTGCTTGATAGCAGTTCTGTTTGGGAAGCATTAGTTCTAGATGCAAAGAAACGGCAATGCATCTTCTCTGCTGCAGATGATTGTGATCTTTCGAGAACTATTTTGGATGTCAAGAAAGAATTGGATCAACTTGATGACCTCCTTAATGCAGACAGCATCTTATTCAAAAATCAAAGATGGAATGTAAGAACGGCTCACTTATTTATACATTCTTATGTCATTACTAGATCAGATATAGTTCTTGTAATGCTATTTGGGAATGAATTTGCTTGTTTTTGGTCATTCCATACAACCTATTTGCTTTCTCTAATTCTTGTGGAAAATATGACCTTTTTGGATAAATTTGAGGGGAGTGAAGGGGTTTTAACTTCTATAATCCGGTGAAGGGTAGTTGAAAAGTTAAATTCAATGGTATTGAGATTGATACATTATTAATATCTTGTTCTTAATGCTTTCAGCTCTAGTTATATGCCTTCTGAAATCAGTTCTTAAAATGATCTTTGATGAATATATTTTTTAAATATTTTCAATTTCGCTCATCTTTCACACATATCATCTTGTAAAAGTTTGATGCTCTTATTCTTTTTAGTTTTTGCATGTTACTACGTGGCCAAATGTTTTTGTTAGTAATAGGACTTCCATTGTGGTTATTAGGTCTTGCTGAGTGACAATTTCAAAAGATCATATAGAGGCTTGGGGTCATCCCATTTGAAAAAGTCAGTGCTTAATCTTTTACTTAAGCTGGCCGGGGGATGGAGACCGAAGAGAAAAGGGGTGGACTCGGTGTGTGAAAGTTCATCACAGATTGTGAAACAGTTTAAGGTTGAAGGGCTATTTATAGTCTGCACAATTGACATTCAGAAAGAGTTTAAATACACCCAAATTTTGAGGGCCTGGGATTTATTGCCTCTTGATGAGGTTGGAAAGTTGTTGAGACGACTTGATAGCATATTCGCTATGTATACAGATGATTTTATCAATTTGTGCACGCAGAAGTCCCTCGAAGGGTATGTTGGTTCCTGCATATCACTCGCAATAGTAAGAAAAGTTTTAAGTTCTAAATTGCTTTTATTTTATTTTATTTTATTTTGCCTAGGGACTTGGAAGTTCCAAAAGTTTGGCCAGCTTCTCGAGATCTGGTAAGGTTCAAGAGTCTTAGTGAGAGATCGGTTGATAACTCGAATGACGGTGCGGTAGAGGGTAGAAGTTACATTGAAAATTCAAGAGTGAGTGAGAGCTTACTCTTGATGAAATTTTACTCCTTATCGTCTGGTATTGTCAACCATTTGCTCTCTGACAACCTTGGCGAAGAAGTTGATATCCCTTTTGAAGTCACGGATGAGGAAAAGGAGATTATTAAATCAGGCAGGAGTAGTTTCATACTGGGCCGATCAGGCACTGGTAAAACTACAGTTTTGACCATGAAGTTATTTCAAAAGGAACAACAACACCATCTAGCCTTGGGAGGCATCAGGGAAGTGGAGACAAATGAGATCAACAAGCATGCTGGTGAAAGTAGCTTTGCAAGTTCTGAGATTGAAACTACTTCTCAATCTGAAATTGAGGCCAAGAGAAGCACCTTAAGGCAGCTTTTTGTTACTGTTAGTCCAAAGCTATGCTATGCCGTTAAACAACAAGTTTCTCATTTGAAATAGTGAGCTTGAACCTTCATTTTTACTTGCTTTCAAATTCTATGATCTATCTACATCTCCTTGTTTCTCAATGATGCAATTGTTAAATTTAGAGTCAAAAGACACTATGTAGTAGTTACTTGTTACCGGGATTCACTTGTTTTGTTTAATCGGCAATGATCATATTAATTTTTTCCTGTTTGATCAAGAAATTATTTGATCTCCACCCTCCCGATACCCTCATAAATTTTGTTGTATTTTGATTATAGTTTTATTGGCTCTATTGGAACAGCTTTTCTAATTGAAGGATTATTTTACTACTGGTTTGTAACATTGAACCTTTAATGTGCCTGCAGCTTTGCTCAAGGGAAAACATTCTCTGATGAGAACAGTCTTATTGATATGATGGATGATTTGGATGGATTTTCTCATTTTAAAGATATTCCAGATTCTTTTGTTGGCATTCCAGAAAGCAAATATCCCCTGGTTGTCACATTTCGCAAGTTCTTGATGATGCTTGATGGAACACTGCATACTTCATATTTTGACCGTTTCCACGACAAGAGGTTAACCACTGTAGGAACTTTCATAAGAACAAAGGAGGTTAACTTTGACTGCTTTTGTTGCTTGTATTGGCCTCATTTCAACTCCCAGCTGAGAAATAATCACGATGCTGCAAAGGTGTTTACCGAAATCATTTCACATATTAAGGGAGGACTGCGAGTATGTGAGGCTCGTAATGCTAAACTCAGCCGGGAGAAGTACATTTCAATGTCTGAGAATAGGGCATCGACTTTGAATGAGAAGAAGAGACAGGAAATTTATGACATCTTTCTTGATTATGAAAAAATGAAGATGGAGCGAGGGGAATTTGATTTGGCTGATTTAGTGAATGACATCCATCTTCGGTTGAATGAGGAAACTCTAGATGGTGACAAAATGGATTTTGTATATATTGATGAAGTTCAAGATCTCACGATGAGACAGATTTCACTCTTCAAGTATATTTGCCACAATGTTGATGAAGGATTTGTTTTTTCGGGTGATACAGCCCAGACAATTGCTAGGGGTATAGAATTTAGGTTTGAAGACGTGCGGACTTTGTTCTATGATGAGTTTGTGATGAAAGGTGGCCGACATGCTACACGTAAAGATAAAGGCCATCTTGCTGCAATTTCATGTTTACTTCAGAACTTTCGCACACATGCTGGTGTTCTGAGGCTTGCACAGAGCGTGATTGATATACTCTCACACTATTTCCCTCTTTCTATTGATGCTCTGGAACCAGAGACAAGTCTCATATATGGTGAAGCTCCAGTGCTGCTAAGACAAGGAAGCAACGAAAATGCTATTGTGACTATCTTTGGTAACAGTGGGAGTGTTAGTGGGAAGATGGTAGGATTTGGTGCTGAACAAGTGATATTAGTCCGTGATGAGTCTGCCAAAGAGGAAGTTTCTGCTCTTGTTGGAAAACAAGCGCTTATTCTAACGATAGTTGAATGTAAAGGATTGGAGTTTCAAGTAAGTGTGCTGAACTTAGACTGCTAGAGCATGCTGCATACTTATTCTTAACATTTTCACCCGTTTTTCTTATCAGCCAGTATATATCTTCAAGGAAAGATTTTTACATTCATTGAAATGATTTTTCTTTCCTTAAATGATAAACGGCTGTAACTATATTTCTTGTGTTTTTTAAAATTAAGACATTGATGATGTTTAGTTTTGGTCACAAAATGTCACTATGGACTAAATCAAATTTGGACATTGAACTTCCCTTGCTACTGACTTTCTGTCAAGTTTTGGAGAGAGAATGCCACAATGTAACTAGGTCAAGCAGAAAATGTCTATGTTTTCATATGGGTCAGATTACATATATGTTGACCACTTGACCTCCCATACCCCAACAGATTTGGGATTATACAGTGGTGTTGTTTCAACATATTGGTGAGATGTCTTTTGATCATTTTTAAAAGTAAAGCTGACCGCTGCTCTGTTTTTGTAGGACGTGCTGCTGTACAACTTTTTTGGTACTTCACCACTGAGAAGCCAGTGGAGAGTAGTGTATGAATTTATGAAACACCATGATTTACTCGACTCAAGATTTTCGCAGAGCTTCCCTTGTTTTACTGAAGCAAGGCACACAATTATGTGTTCTGAACTGAAGCAGCTATATGTCGCTGTAACTCGGACACGACAACGATTATGGATCTGTGAACGTGTTGAGGAGCTTTCAAAACCCATGTTTGATTACTGGATGAAATTGGGCCTTGTGGAAGTAAGGGATGTTGATGAATCTCTTGCACAAGCTATGCGCTTGGCAAGCACCCCCGAGCAATTGAAATCTCGCGGATTGAAAGTAACTTGATCTTTCCTTTTTAAATATTAATTTGAATTTCTACTATTCTTGATATAGACACCCTTTGTCCCATTATTTTTGGAATGTGGGAGAGGCACAAATTTCGGAAACGTGGAATTCGGTTTGGTAGTGTTTGGAAACTAGGAATTCATTTAAAGTTCCAAACAGGCCATTATTAAATCTGTGAAGTATAATTAATTTAAGTCACACAGGTCATACAAAATATGATATCTAGCAAATACTTTAAGAGAAAGCAAAATGAAAAATAAAACAAAAATATTGGGGCAAAAGGAGTATGTTGTTTATATGCTTGGTGCTAGAATCTATTCTATTATGTTTAGATTTTTAGATCACGTTTCTCTAATTCTTGTGGCATTTATTATGATTTGCAGCTACTCTGGGAGAAAAATTATGAAATGGCGATCATGTGTTTTGAACGAGCTGGAGAAAAGACACTTGAGAAGCAAGCTAAAGCATCCAGTCTCCGGGAAACTGCTTACCGGATGCAAGATTCAAATCCTAAAGCCTCTAACTCTAATCTTAGGGAAGCTTCTGAAATATTTGAGTCGATTGGAAGGTTCAAGTCTGCTGCTGAATGTTTCTGTGACTTGAAGGAATATGAACGCGCAGGTAATTATATCCCAATTTTCTCGTAATCACCCATTCTTACGCTTGCATTTTGCATTTGAATTGTAGTTGTTAATTTTTGTATTTTCATCTATATGAAGGAACTATGTACTTGAAGAAATGTGGTGAACATGAGCAGAAAAAGGCTGCCGAGTGTTTTACATTGGCGGGATGTTATGAAACTGCAGCAGAAATATATGCAAAGCAAAACTGTTTCTCGGAGTGTTTATCAGTTTGCAGCGTTGGACACCTTTATGAATTGGGTTTTCAATATGTAGAACAATGGAAACAATATGCTGTCCATCATAATGATTTGGGTGAAAGGGCGAAGGAATTAGATAGAATCGAGCAAGAATTTCTAGAAAGGTGTGCATCTAATTACTTAGAGTGCAATGACAAGAGATCAATGATGAAGTTCATCAAAGCCTTCAAGTCAATGGATGACAAGCGGAGGTTCTTGAAGAATCTGAATTTTCTGGATGAGTTATTACTTTTAGAAGAAGAAGCTGGAAATTGTGTTGAAGCTGCCGAACTTGCTAAACTGAAAGGGGATATCCTACTAGAGGCAGAACTTCTAAGCAAAGCTGGGAATTTCAGCAAAGCAACCTCGCATGTCCTGAAGTATGTGTTAACCAATTCTTTGTGGGTTCGTGGATGCAAGCCATGGCCTCTGAAGTCTTTTGAGTCCAAGGACGAACTACTGATGAAGGCCATCTCATTTGCAAGGAATGAATCTGATCCTTTCTATGAATCTGTTTGTACTGAGGCAAAGGTTTTGGAACACAATCAAAGCAATATGTGTGAATTGAGGCGTGCTCTAAGTGCTTCTGGGAACTGTGGGAGTGTTACTTGTGAAATTTTATGTCTCAGAAAAATTATAGATGCACACACTGAGGTTCGAGCAGCAAGTTATTCATGGGAAGATGAGTTTCCGGTTGACATGAATTTCCCCGATGATACAATGTTCTGTAACAAGCTCTCCATTGGATCACTCTGTCACTTTTGGAATTTATGGAAGAAAAATGCATTTGACATTCTTGAATCCCTCCATTGTCTAGAGGTAACCCAAGATTTTGGTAAATATAATGGCTTTGGTGAGTTCTGCCTGAGCTATTTTGGTGTGAGGCGACAGTTCAGTGATACGAAAGCCAACTATGTCGTTTTAAATCCTGAAGCTGAATGGTTTAAAAAGGTGAATAAGAGTTTCATTAAGCAGGATAACCAAATGTTCTCAATTGATGAGAGGCAGTTCATACTTGCTGCTCGGAATTACTGGCAGAGTGAGGTAATCTCTGTAGGTGTCAAGGTTCTGAAAATGCTCAAATCCATTTATGATAGCATTTCCATGCAGTCATTCTATGTGTTTAGACAAGCCTTGTGCCTTATTAATATATATCAGATCTCAAAGAGTCTTCTTGAGTCCAAGGAGTTAAATAGCAAGAATTACGAGGGGATGCTATACGAGTTCTTTGAACTCTCGATGGGGTACTTTGATACTGTGTTTCCTATTCATTTCCGGGTGTCTACGGAAGAGAAAATGTTTTCCATGCGAGGAACTGAAGTTTCGAGAAGTTTACTTGAAGAGTACATCAGCTGTGATCATAGTAGAAAAGGGGAACGTGTTGCTACACTTGGGGAAATCGGGCGATTTGTGATGATATGGTTTGGTTCTGCCAAACCTGCAGATGAACTGTGCAATAAGGTCATGTCAAGAATAAGACGTGGTTCAGCATGGCTGGCTTTCATAGATAGTCTAAGGAGCGAGAAGGAGCCAAGGGAGTTAATTCACAGGTTCTGTCAAGCTTTGCTAGAAACATATCAAGCCTCTTGGCACAACATGAATGACTACATCTCACCTCACTGCTTTCTATATCTCGTGGAGCGTTTCTTAATTTTGGTTTTCTGCTCCAATCCCACCTTTTTCACAACCAAGTCCTCTTTCGTGGAGTGGTTGATGCTTCAGAAACCAGATGCCATTGTCACTTACAGCTTTCAACCTCCAGAGCCTTACATGTTCTATGAATCCATTCTCCCCATGCTGCATGATCTGCTCTTCAAGAATGTTGAGAGAGGTGAATGGGTTGGGAAGTTTGGAGTTAAATCTCGCGAATATCACAAATCGCTGGTTTTGAGGCTGGCGATTGTTCTCTGCACAATTTGCATGAACTATGACGCTGCTGGACCTGTGAATATTCTCAACAAAGCACTTAATACCTATTATGTTTCGTGTGACCTTCCACGAGAGTTCACTCAAGCTTTTAGAAGAGGGGGGAAAGTATATGTAGACCGTGGAAGAATTGCTGCTGCTCTCTGTGCAATAGGGAACCCTGTTTTTCATGTGTGCGTGAATCAAAATACTCCAAGATTTGTGTGTCCCAGCGCTACTCGCATACAAATCAGCGTGAATTCTCATAGAGAAGACATCATGGAGATGGTGTTCCCAAGGAAAAGGGCTGCTTCAGCCGGGCAAGAAGAACAACAAGAAGATGCTGGTAAGAAGATGAATCCATGCTGTCTGCTTCCCCTGAGTGTGTATCATGGCAAGAAGAGTTCTGTAATGGAATCCTCCCCAGCCATCAAAGCCCCCATGCAAAATCAGGCACCAAACGTCGAGGAGGAGGAGAAAAGCACATTGCAAATGAAATGGTCTGTTTTGGACGAAGCTTCCGACTTCCTGAAATTAAAGGTAAAACATCCAAACACCGACTCGTTACCCCCTTTTTTTTTCTGTTTTTGTACATATATAATTCAATGCTGAATTTTGTTTTCTTTTTCTTCTCTGTATATGTTTTGAAGGAGGATTTGGATGAATGTATGGAATTCACCACTGCTGTGCTTGATTATTTGACTGGGAAGGAGGTGGCATCCTCTTGGGAAGAGACAAATATTTGTGAGGAAGTACAAGGCATGCTTCAAGAACTCAAACAACTGTCAGACTATTTGGATACCAGGTGAGCCAATAGTTTCTCTGCTCATGTGATTTGCAATGGTTTCTTGCCTCTTCAATTATAATAGAAAAAAAAAACTAAGAGGCAATTGTGAAACAAAATCTGCAGTTGCGAAGAGGAGAAGTGCGAGAAGGTTGCAGAAGTGCAGGAGAAGTTGTCATTGCGGAAGCCCCAACTGGAAGGTTTATTGGGCAGTGTCACTGTGACAAAAGACAGCGGCACGATTACTGTCGTGGAGGCTGAGATTGATCATAAACTGCCTGGAAATGAAAATGCAAGCAAAGAAGATGATGAGGAGGAGGACGAGTGTTATAAAGCGATGGAGTCTGAGAAGGGGAAGAAGAATCGGGGCAAGCAACCGCAGCAGCAGCAGCAGCAGCAAGGGAAGAAGAGCAAAAACAAGAACAAAAAACGAAAAGGAGGCCACAAAAAGAAGTGATTTAATTTGTTGAACAATCAATGAATCCATGTGTTTTGTGTTTGTATATATATATATGGGTTGGTCCTTTTGAGATTCTAATCAGTTCTTCATTTGAAACTGGAATGCATGGCTTTGGTCTGTCTACGTAAATGCACCCATGGCTTCATTAGTCTGTCCACTTTCCACACTATTTTGACACCACTATCCCATGAGGGTAGTGATCCGAAATTCATTGAACACATCTTAGAAATAACTATTAAGAATTAAAAAATAAAAATTACATATTAAAAAACTACTCCCTCCGTCCCACTGTCTTTGTCCACTTATCTTTTGGCACACCATCCAATGCACTTCTTTAATCCATTTTATCTTGTAATTTGTATATTAAAAAATTATAGAAATTATATATTAATAATCTATATGTTAAGACAAATCAAACAAGATCACACATGACTATTTTTAGGCTTACACATTGAGAGAATTTGATGAGTCAAAGTGCTTAGATGAACAGTTCTAAAAGTCAAATGTGGACAAAGACAATGGGACGGAGGTAGTATATCAAAAGATCTACAAAACTAGAAGTGACATGACTATATTATTTTATCAAATGGGTGACGAAAATAGGCCAACAGAGTGAATAAAGTTTGACCCTGTGAATAGTGAACGTAAAGTTCATTTGTGGACGGAGGGAGTATCTTTTTTAGGGTAATTGTTTGGGAAGTAGAAAAAATTTGAAGAAAAAATGAGAATAGTTAGAAAAAATTGGAAGAAACTAGAAAGAATGGAAGAAGCTGGAATAACTAGAAGAAATTAGAAATCACTAGAAGAAACTTGAAGAAATTAGAAGCTAAGAGTTTAAGTCCTAAATAACATAATGTAATGGTGAATAAAGACGATGTGAAAGATATATAAGGTAATAATTAGCAAGAATAAAAATATTCTTTTAATAGAAAATGGAGTCTTTGTAGGTGGAAAAAACTAAAAGAAGAATTGTTTTGTGAAACAAAAGAAGTAGAAATTAAAATGTTCTTAAATTTATTTCATTATATAAGAATGCAGTGCAAATTTAACATAATTGATGATTAAAATTCATTCAATTTGACTCAAAAAAGTAATACTAGATGAATATTTATTCTAAGCAAAAGGAGTATACGTACTATTAGGGGCAAATATGAAAGTAAATTACTTTTCTTAAATGAGAAATGCTTGGTTCACAAATTAAACCGTCACAAATTTCATAAATTTACTATTTGTGAACTTCAATAAAAAAATGAAATAGTTTAAAATAATTTTAAAATAAGAATTTAAATTTGAAATGGTAAATTTGTAAAGTTTGTAACAATTTTGTTTGTGAACTTGATGAAATTTAGGATGTGATAAGGATCACTTGAATGAACCATAAGACACTTGAGTTCAACCAAATTAAAAGGTTGGATCTAATCAATTAATTAGTTCAACTCGAGAATCTATATATCGATTATTTTACTTTTGAACTTCCAATGTTGGATCACACAGGACACTCTAACACCCTTTCATTCTCCCGTTTCTTTTGTAACTTTGATTTACACTTTTTTTGAAATGTTCATACGCATTTTCTCCTTTTTTAAAAATTTTATTTTTTTTGCAAATCTGATCATGTTAATGTTCATAATAAGGGTTAAGGAGCAAAATAGGAGTAAAACATTGATTAAAATCTAAAATAGGAGTGAAAACATAAAACCCCCAAAATAGGAGTTCTTGACTCACCGTTTGCCACCGCCAAGATCTGCCACTTTCATCACCCCTTGCTCTTGTTATCGTTGCACGTTTTTGGCATCACTAACCCCCACAGGGGTGGTGCCATGGTGCTACATGGAGAAAAAATAATTCATACAGTGTCAATCGAAAATACAATGCTAAAAATGACAACATACAGTGACAAACATGACATTGTAAGATGCAAAAATACAAAATTTTAATCAAAAACAAAATACCAAAAACTTTGATTCACACTTTTTTTTGAAAGTTCATACCCATTTTCTCTCCTTTTTTTGTGAAATTTTATTTTTTGCAAACTGATCATGTTAATGTTTATAATAATCCTTAATTACATTCAAGTCTATTATTTTTCTTAAATCTACACTCCATTATTTTTAAAATTTTATTTTCACATATCATAAATTTTTGTTTCTACTTTGCATTTTTTATTTTTCAATCTGTTTTTCCCTAATTTTGTATACTAAGAAGAGTACAAAAAAACTAATATCGAATCATGGAGCAAGATATAATACCTATAAATGCATATTATACACTCTAGTTTTGCATCATAAAGATCTCAAAGTGCATTGTAACGTGTTTGCGTTTTTGTTAATTCTTAATGAACAAAGTCTGCATGGATTTCTATTATTGTTATTGTGCATTATCAGAGTCGAAGTAATGCATTTACATGATAAGAAGGTGAATTCTTAGAATTAAGTTAAAGGGTTATTGTGCATTTACAAAATCAAAGTAAATTTCACCTATCGGATAATGAAATTCTCCTTACAAATATATGATGTATTTGTATATACTAGTTAATATTTTTTTATAAATGAAGCCGTGGGTTTGAATCTTGCATAAGCAAATTATTTTTTAAATGTGTCTTAAACTTGTTATAAATAAAATGCATTCTCAGACTTTCTCATTGCATACAGAGTCCGTCACGAGTCATTATTTAATAATCCAAAAATTAATAGAATAAAATTTAAATAAAGGAATAATTAAATAAAATAAAATTAATATTATACTCTCTCCGTCCCTAAAAACCTTTCTCTTTTCTTTTTTCATCCGTCTCAAAAAACACTTCTTATTTCTATTAAAAAGTCACTTTTACTCCTCATTTTTCATACCATACCTATCACATCATACTTATTTACTAATAATCTATCCATCAAATCCTACTTTTACACATCACATCAAAGGATATATTTGGAAATTCAATACCAAAATACATTCCCCTTAAATCTCTTCAAAAAACAAAACATCACATGTTTTACGGGACGGAGGGAGTATTAGTTTTAAAAAGGAAAATCCAAAACATGGGAGATTCGGCTTGAGGGTTAGATTAAGTTGGTGCATTTTTTATTTTTTGTTTAGACCCTTAGTAATTACTACAACCTTATTTTTATGGAATATAATAAAGACTTACCATTTTTATTAGTCATAAATGATCGAGGGCGATGCAAAATCTTGGACATTCTATTCATCTTATACGATGGATCAAGATCATTTTTATTCACCAAGAATCATTCTCACGAGAACTGCACCATATAAATAATAAATATAAAATGTATTTATGGGTGAAAAGATTTTTTATAATTATATTATTTTTTCTATTTTAGTCCAATTATATATTGATTTTTAAATTTTGTAATGTAGTTATTGAAATTGTATTAATTGTTTGTGTTTTAATTTTACATTATTATTAAAAAATACTCTCTCCGTTCTCAAAAACACTCTCTTTCATTTTTTTTCACTTCCAACCAAACACTTCCACTTTCTATTAAAAAACCACTTTACCCTTTTTTTTTTATCATACCCTACCTATCACATCATACTTTTTCTCTAATAATCTATCCATCACATTTTACTTTTACTCATCACATTAAGGGCAAAATTGGAAGTCAAATACAATTTAATACTTTCTTATTTTTACACTTTTTTAAAGTAGGAACTCTTTTTTAGAACGGAGGAAGTACAAACTAATTTAATTTTAAGATATCTTTCTATTTAGCAGGAAAATCATACCGCCCAAAATTTTACGCGTGAACAGTGAAAAATTGGCCGCAACCCGCCCGCTCAACTACAACTCATTAATCAACCGCTCACTTCTCCATTTTCCTAACTAATCGCATCGAATAGCGTTTTCGATTAACGTTAGCGTTTTGGATATAATTTTAATGGTGTAGATTACTTCTGAAAACGCTAACGCTAAAAGCTACCGTTGGATAGCCTTTTCAAAACGCTAACGCTAATCTCTAACGCTGATGCCAAACGGGCCCTTCTTCCCCACTTCCTCAATATCAAAGCGTCTTCCTTTTATGCTTCATAATTTGGCTACGGGTAAAGCTATTTGTACCCCATGTTTTGTACCTCACTTTGTACCCCGTAGCTTTGCACCAACACTTTGTGTTGGTGTAAAACTAATTTTTATTAATGCACTAACACTTTGTGTCCGTGTAAATTTTTGTTAATGCACTAACACTAATGTCGGTGTAAACCATCAAAATGTTTGTGTATAACTGCAGTGTACAAATAAGGTACAATTTGTGGTGTAAGTGTAGCATAACACGCTAGAAGGTTGTCGGTTCGCTAGTGGAAGCCCGTGGATCTATTTGTCGTCACTTTATGGAGAAATCGGTACCCAATCGAAGAACAAGAAAGGGATAGATTCACTTATTTAGGTAACACCCTTTTGTTGTTTCTATTTTAATTTCTTTAGATTAAAATACATAATTTATTTAGGAAAATACTGCACCCGGTATTTTTCTAATAGATTAAAATACACACGGCATTAATTTTGGTAACAATCAGGAATACACACGGTATTAATGCTGTAAATACACATGGTATTATATTAATTTTGGTAGTTAAATAAAAACGCATTAAATACACACGGTATTTCCCTTTTTTATCTCGAGTAATACACATGGACTAATAATAACCGTAGATTAAATGTAATAGATTAAAATTGACGGTCCATAGATGATAGTCATTGGGCGGTAAAAAGCATGGGGTATAATTCCCATGCTTCTAAGAATAAGATGATATCGAGATATAATTGAATCTCCCAATAATAAGGGCCAACTGTTATGATCAGTGGCGGAGCCAGAATACGATTGTTGGAGGGGCACCAACTACATTACATTACAGGGTTCCAAGGGAACACCAAAAAAAATTTCCCAAGACAACATAAAATGATAAAAGGATGTGCAAATATTTTTCCTTTCTAGGATGACAAACTTTTTACTCCGTATCTAATAGGGTATACTACGTATAAAATTTGACCATTATAATAATTCCAAATAAAATAATT